AATAATTAATAACTAATTAAATTATTAATTATATTTATCAAAAAACAAATATATTAATAAATAGCAAATATTTATTAATTAATAATAAATAACTAATTAAATTATTAATTATATTTATCAAAAACAATCTAACAAACTAATAAAAATAATTTTTTAAACCACTTTCAGCGACGGAAATTTCCCTCAGAAATTCGTCGTTGTTGTATGACATAAAACAAGCCCTAATCGGGCACAACTTCGTTTCGTTCGACCAGACTCTTGTATTGGTGACCAAATCTTCTTCTATCGGCAACCAGACCTTCTTCCATCGATGACCAGACCTGTTTCCATCCCTACCGCTCGTCACTCGCCGCCATACTCGCTTCCATCGTCGTCGACCTTCTTCCATCGCGGCCGATCTGCTTCCACTTTTAGGGCGTGTCTAAGGTTTTACTCCATTCTCTTCATCCCCTCTTTAATTTGGGTAATATTTTAGAATCTTGAGGTCAGATTTGAGGCCCTCCATTTGTATAGATGAATTCCATTTGTTTTACAAATCCATGTTGGTTGTTTGTCATGGTTGAACATTTGGTGCATTTGGTTTTGATAAATCAATGAGATGCTTATTTTGATTTTATAGAGTACTTTGAGACATATATTATAAGAGTTTACTCTTAGGAGATTTTGTTGCATCAAATGAGATTTTATTGGATAGAATTATTCTTTGGGTCATGAAATTGCATAAACTTAAAAAAAAAAACTTGCATAAACTTTTTGGTAAAGGCATTTGTGGACTTACTGTTGATTTGGATTTGAATCAAATGTTTCATTTGGAACCTTGAGCAACTTATGATCTAGTTTTTGAGGGTACTTGAATCTTTTTAGGCTATAATTGCATAAATATTTGAGAAATGCATACTAGTGAAATTGTAGGTCATTTGAAATACAAACCATGTGAGTTTGAAACCCTATTATAACAAATGAGAGTTCATGGACCTATTCATATTTATGGTTCATGGTTTGCATAAATGTTTGGAAAAAGTGTCTTTTTGGGATTAGGATCAAGTTTTGATTTGGGATTCGGAATTTGGAATTTAAGACCAAATGGTCTATATTGCTTTGTGATTATGTTTATTACATAATGTTATCTAATTCGTATATGATGATAGCGATTGTATGCCGGGAAATGAAGATAGCAAGGATGAACCACCATTTAAAGACGTAGCTTGTCGTTTAGCCGGGAAATGAAGATTGAGTAGCTTGTCTTTTGTATGCTTATTTCACAATTGTACATATAATCGTGATTTGTCATTATATTTTTCCATGATATAATTTAATGTTTTTTTTCAGGATCTGTCACGCCGAGAGTGCGATAGAGGCCATCATGGTAGTAGAGGTAGCCTCATATCTGGTAGGGACAACAACTTTGCTGGCGGGCATGGCGACCCGCATGCCGATGACATTGTGGAGTTCGCGGAGACCGGCCTCCAGGATAGAGATGAACAAGAGGTGGAGGCCCCAGCTTCGATTGGTTTAGGGTCGAGGAGAGGCCCCAACCATGAGATGCCGACACCCAGTCATCCGAGCCAGCGACCATATCTTTCTTTCTTAAGCAACAGGTAAGTAGATGTGGTATAAGACTTTGTATTACATAATAGAATGATATGAATGTATTTTGTGTAGTATATATATTTTTAATTATGCAGATTTAAAGATGACCATGTTAGCCGGGAGATGACGACTATATTCAAGTCTTCCTTTGCTGGTCCGTGGCATAGATGGAAGGAAGTCCCTCAGGAAGCCAGCCCGCGACTTGATGTTCCAGTGTTTTCGGGTTGGTGTACCATTTTAATGTAATTAATAAGGTTATTTTTCTTACATTAATACAAATATTGTCTATGTAGGTTAAGTTCCAGTGGAAACTAGAGTTGGATGACATGGTTTGTGATTTATGGACCAAAGCCATGCACAATAGGTACTCAGATTGGATGACCGTTGCACATGACTGGACCGTGGCATAGGCCTATCATGGTGCTCAACAATGGGATGATAAGGACTTCTCACGGATTAGATTACACTGTCCTATATGGATCCGAGAGAGGTTTTGGATTCAGATGATTGACCAGGTATGTATCTCTATTGTGAGCTTTATGAACTGTCATGTGTTTTGTACCGCCTTATATATGTGTTATGTTTTTAACATGTTTGGGATACCGATCCTTGAAAAAGGAAATCCATAATCAATAGGGCCAATCGAAGCACACAGTTTGAGGGGGGTGTCGTCTAGGCACACCGGGGGATCAATTAGTACTGCACATCATCGAGACAAGATAGTGACTATATAATCTTTTTTGAATATGTAATTAGTTCTCTATGTTTACTAATAACTTAACCTAATTTTCTAATATAGCACATGTACTGGGTTGTGAGCTGACTGCTACTGAGGTGTTTAAGTGCACTCACTACACGAACCGGAAGTTTGATCAAGATTTGTCCGCCCCGCCTACTGATCCTCCTCAATTCTGTTACCCCAAAGCTGCTAGGTATCATGTAAGTTTTTTAAAACTATTACTTCAGTTTATAGATACATCTAGTAGGTTTAAGGTAATATATTTTAATAAACATAGTGATGTTATTAGTTTGGTCTGTCATTGTTGGGCAGACGTTAGGCTAAGTAGATAGGTTGAGAATGTGACTACCATCGGTATTTAGAATGATTTAATTGTTAAAAAACATTTATTGGATATGTTTGATTTACAGTCATCATGTTGTTGAAACGTCTACACATATAATCTCACCTGTTTTTGTTTTGGTGAACCACATGAGCGATTTCAATCGCTTAGGGGTGAGTCACAATCTAGTATCAACACCCTTCCCCCTGATGAGGCATCTCTTTGGGAGCAGAGTGTCGGAGGATGGAGTAAAGGCCGCATCTTTGATTTCGGGACCTCCCAGGATCCCTCTTATGCTATGACGGGTAGAGATAGCAGTAGCACCGGGAGATCATAGGAGTCAACATTGGAGGTATGTTGGTTATATTGTTATATATTTTCTCATTACTTTCATTGCGAACAAATTAACTGATTTTGTCGAATATTGAATATTTACAGGTAGCAGAGTTGAGAGATAAGTTGGCAAGTGTAGAGGAGGAACTGGAGACCGAGTGGAAGAGCAGGGTAGATTTGGAGGCCGAACAGGCCAGACAAACTGTTGCATTAGCCGAATAGGTTGCCTTATCAAATCATTTTTCTGCGTTTATGCGCCAGTCAGGATACATTTTTTCTTCTCCCCCACCTCCCAGTAGTTAGATTGTATGAATTTGAACATTAGATTGTATGAATTTAATATTTTACATTGTATGAATTGGATATTTTAAATTGTATGGATTGGTTAGTTTTAATTTGTTCACAGTTTTTATTTGTTATCTTATGGCCAAGTTTTATATAAATAAATACAGGAATTATGTAATTATAAATTATTTACTTCTAAATTAATAAACATTAGCGATGGATTAACCAGGGAAAATCCGTCACTAAAAGATTCCCTCTTTGATCCGTCGCTGAAAGATTACCTTGCTAATCCATCACTGAAAAATCCCTAGCCGATCCGTCACTGAAAGATTCCCTCGCCGATCCGCCGCTGAAAGTTTCCCTCGCTAATCCATCATTGAAAAATCCCTAGCCGATCCGTCACTAAACGATTCCCTCGCCGATCCGCCGCTGAAACTTTCCCTCGCTGATCCGTTGCTGATAGCATTACCTACGAGCTTTTGACCAACAGACTATCAGTAACAGATCAACGACGGAATACCTCTTTAGTGACGGATCAGCGAGGGAATTTTCCCTCGCTGATACTTTTCATTTTTGTAGTGCCTGGGACATTCTTGTGGCCTCTCATTCTTACACCATTTTTAGATATGGCTATCATTGATTAATTTCCAAGGGTATTACTTGTTCTATGACTATATTTAATCGAAATGCAAATTCAAAGATGCTTGCAACTTTTTGTAAATCACTTTTACTTGTTCTATAACTTCTTAATATCCATCTCTTGGTCTTGAAATTAGATACATATACTTAAGTCTCATATATAACGACAACAAATCAAAGAAACAAAATTACAATTTCAACGAGCACGTATATATTACACCTCATTTGCGACTTCATGTGTCCTCTCCTTTTTCGTATCTCCAAACAAGAAATCAAGATTATAAAGCACAAACGTCATGGTTAATGAACTTAATATCACAAGAACTGGCCCGAAAATCCAAAGAGCATTGGGAAGTGCAGAGTAGAAAAGTCGATTTCCTATTGCATTAAGTGTGAAACTCTTCTCTAAAAGCTTTGACACATATGTTGAAGTCACTATTGTCAAATCTTGTGGGCAGTTGATCAAGAAGTTCACTTGGCTTACGAATCTAATCGAAAGAGAATGACACATGAAAGAGAAGAGAAAGAGAACAAGGACGGTTACATATTTTAGTGCGACCATGAATTCTCCATGTGCCCCGTAAACAGTATCATTAAGTGGTTTTTTAACACTGTATGTACTGCTGATAACCGCCGCTAAACCAGAACACAAAAGTATTGATGTGGTGGCCATTAGAGTTGATCCCATGATTGTGTTTCTAATTGTTTGGACCGCTAAGATGTTTTTCTTTTCATTGTCCTGTCAAAGATAACAAAAGAAGGTTCAAAATGTTGGTGAAAGTAATACTATATGTATTTCTTATACCTTCTTGTTTGATTACACCCTAAAAGAATATGTTGATATTTCGTGCTTTTTTCATATACTTTTTTGTTCAGTGGTCGACCCTTGAATGCTATTGATCTATTCCATTAAACGCTTAATCATTTTATTCGGGTACATAATTCGATCAAACTAGTCCATTTTACACATTTGCTTTGAGATAAACATGTAGGATATTGTATGTGGAAAGAAAATATCTAAAACAAAACCTTTTATTGTCACTTCACACCCTAAATCCCACTTGAAGTTGCCTCACTAAATGGGAGACCTTTGCTTCATACTAGGATTCGCACCCAGAGTGTACCAACCATGCATGCATTCATACACCCACAAACTATTGCGTGACTCAAGGGTGTTTGATATATATATATATATATATATATATATATACATATATATATATGTATATATAATTGAGTCGATCTATAGTTTCGGTACATATGTAACAAGATCTCCACAAATTAATTAGTTTTCATTTGATTAGGCCCCTATATAGGGGATGAATCAAATGCAAAACAAGTCATTTGTACAAACCTTACAAATAGGCGATTTCATTGTTTAATTTGATGAAATTGTTTCATTAGTTTCTCATTTTGATGAAATTTGTTTTCTAAAATTAATATAATGGACATGATAATGACCATAATTAATGTCCTACACAATAAAAATGACAAATCAACTCTCATGACTAAAAAACATATAAAAAATTATGAGTAAATGAATGAGGTTTGTATGTTTTGTACAAATGGTTTGATTTGCATTTGATTCATCTCCAATATATATGAGGAAGGTTCAGAGAAAAACCTCAAAAAAAAAAAACATAAAATTACTCCATCAACCGTTAGATTAATTATTCTAATGGATATAATTAGATTAATTGTTCTAATGGATATGATTAAAGAGACGCTTACAATTTTATTTTTAAATTAAAAAAAAATACCACATACCTTTTTTGTAGTAAAAAATGAAATATGATCATAATTTGAATGAAATAAATTACACCAAAAATAATTATATTTTTTTTCGTTAATTTGACACATATATTCATACATATTTTTCATTTGTTTGTTGTGGTTTTCCATTTTTCAATTTATTTAGCGTTTTCCTTGGAACTTGACCCATATATATATATATATATATATATATATATATATTTATAAAAGTAATTTCTATAGTATATGCATAAATTAAGCACATGTATAGAAATCAGGAAATATTTTCAATTATTTTTATGCACATATACAGAGCAGATAAAGAAGTGGTTATTTAATATTTCTCAAATTTTCAAATTTATGTAATTTTCCTCTGATACTATAGCCTAAAACTAAGTTTTATTTGAATTATACTACTTGTTATTATGAAATTTAAATATGTATCAAATACCTAATCTGGTAAAAATGTCATAATCTTCGATATGATTTATCGGTTTTCGAAATCCTTCTAAATAAAACAACTATTTAGGGAAATTAGTTAAAATAGACATTTTTAACGGTTGGTTTTACCTTTTAGCCATTTTTTTACAATGTTTATCAAAATAGCCTTAGATCCGTAATTATAATTTTTTTTGCGGAGTTGGGTGAGAAATGTAAAAAAAATTTGCGGACCTAAGTGAAAAATGTAAAATTTTATCTACGGAGAGGGGTAGAAAGTGTAACTTGTTGTTTTGTTTTTTAACTGGGTCTACAATTACAGATGTGAGTTTTACAAACCTGTTTCTATTTTAGTAAACTTGAAGAGAAAATGACTAGAAGGTAAAACTCAACCTAAAAAAAATAGTTATTTTAATAAATTTCCTCTTTTTATATTATATATTGCGACTAGCCATGATTGTATCTTACATGCGTTGGAGGCATAATAATAAAAACTGATAATAATCATCGAAGCATTTTCAACAATTATGTTAAATATAATTTTTTTATATTCTAAGTCCAACAGCTACTCTATTTTAATAAGTGTAACATTAAAGATATCAATACAATATTCAATACATTAATAAAATATCATTTCTCTTTTTTAAACATTTAATTTCAATATCTAGCTCTTTTTGTTGGGAAAAAATTAAAATATTATTTCTTCTTTTTCAACAGAGTTTTAGAGATTTTTTCAAATTTGAAGAATTCTATCTTATCTTTTTTTCTTTTATCTAATATAGCATACCATTTAGCTTAGCTGTGCAAAAAAAATTATAAATCTTCAAACTTTTCTATTTTAATATAACTGTTGAAGATGCTTTAATACATCTATTAATCATTGTGATGTTTAAAATTAAAAGCATCCACAATGTGCTTTTCTCAATGTTTTCATAGGTTTTTCAAAAGTGAGTTTTTCAACATAGTAAAAGCTTTTGAGAAGGGGTTTTCATCAGATTGTTGATTAGAGATCGTAAATGTATGACCTACTTTTTTCAGAATTTTGTATTTAATCAGTTTTAATTTTATAGAACTTTATAAAAAATCGTATTTAACCAATTTATTTATTAATATTATTAACTTAATATATTCAAATATAGTTAATAAATAAATACATAATTGAAGTAATTATTATATACATATATATATATATATATATAAACTAATAGGAAAAATAATTTTGAATGTAATTTTTATACAATTTTTATGGATTCTTTGTAACCCAATTCTATATTCACTTTTTTATATAATTTATTTTACATAATAAATTATAAGATTATTTACGGATTTCTTGGTAACCCAATATTTTATACGATTTTGTAATAAGAAATTTATATCATATTTATAAATAAATACTTTTTTATGTAAAATAAACATAAAATTGATATGTTTCTCTATATAAATAAACATATAATTGTATAAATTTAATTATATTGATTTTTATAAACAAGTATTAGTGAAATAAAGTTATAATGATAGGATATTGAAAAGTTTGAAAAAACTATAGAGATTCATGTCATAATGGATATATGTTTAGGTTTTTTTTTTAATGAAAAAGCTCGGAAAAACCTTAGACTAAAAGATCAAATATTGTGGATGCTTTAACTTTAACCTGCTTTCAAATTCACCTTTGACATCAATTATAATTTATTGATTTTATTTTAACAAATTTTCGGTTGGCAAAAGGAGTGTTTGACTTTGTGTAAATACTAGACAAGTTTTGGATTCGATCTCAGGCCTCCGCTAGCTTTAGCCGTTAAGTAAGGCAAAAAATGTCCCCTCACTTCAGTGTACTTTAAGGCAGGTGCCGTATGAGGTCGATGGAAATTGCCGGTTGTTAACTTTTGCCGAAACAAGTTTCTTATAGATAAGTATGGTAATTAAATAAATTCTTCTATGATGAAAACATAAGTGTGATGCTAATTTGGAAAGTCGATTAATCGGTGACTTGTTTAAAAAAAAACTACAAATATTGTCGGTTAAAGGTTGATGTATGCATGGAACTAATTAACAAGTCGACATTCAACGGCTCAAATTTTTGATAGACCAATTTCAATCATGACCTAAAAAACCGAATCAGATGATTTGTAGTTATAGATATAAATATATGCATACATACATAAATACATATATGCATTTATATCCTTTTTGAGAGGGTGATAACAACTGTTATAATAAACACTCTTATAATAACTTCAACCATAATATTGCCCATCAACCATGTCAGAAGGTTGCAATCTTAATTTCGTTTAAACAAATTAACGTGTGTGTTGATCTGTTACGCGTATATGAAAATGAAAAGCATGTGTCTTCTTAAGAAACCAATTGGGAATCAGGAGGGGTCAGTATACATACCTTCATAATGGTGGATACCCATAACCTGCGTCCATGAGCATTGGTACCAATAACTGTTGAGAGTGGTTGAGTCCGAACCTTATGCCATAGCCAAAAGTGATACCCAAAAAATATCATAAACGATAGAGGTACCAAGATTAGATCAAGATAATACTTCTTGAATTCCATCTTTTTCCTTTCAAATTATCTCTCTCTCTCTCTCTCTCTCTCTTGTTTTCTAGCTCTTGGTGTCACAAGCCATGTAGCATATGATGGTATGAATATATATATATATATATATATATATATATATATATATATATATAGGGTAAGGGGTGGGGTCGGGTGGGTGTTGATGTGACTCATTGAGAATCATATTTGTTACAATTTTCAACGAGTAAGAAAAGGATAATAGTATGTTCTTAATGATTTAAAATATATTATCGTGAATTAATTGTAAATGTAACATGTGAAGATAAGCCAAAGAATACTTGGTAAACTCTCACGTTTATATCAAGTTGATACCACCTACATCTCTGCCTCCTCTTAATTCGTCATCTCAGCATCACCACCTCTCTCAAAGTTACTAAGTTAAGGAGCTACAGATATTATCTCGAATCAAAATCCCATGTTCATTTTTGTGCCAAAATGCACAGGTATATCAATCAGCAAATTAAATTGTGGTGGGAAAGAACCTTCAGATTCGATGCTAGCAACAGAATTCCTAAGGACATGGAAGAATCAAAGATGCAAAGGGGTGAGCATCTGTTTAGATTGTCTTAGTGGTTAAAAAAGACTAAGATGCTTTCATATGGTTGATTCCTATTTCAATTACGGAAAAGAAACCTGATATTCGATTGGGTTTCATGAGATCGTCTTTTCTTCCACTTTTACTTGTTCCTATTCTAGATTTTTCAATTAACGAAGCAAATCTGACATAGCCACTTGGGCCTTGATCCTTGAGATGTACCCGGTCTACTATGTATAATGGAAGTTGTTTTCGTGAAGACGATACTTGGATGTGTGCAAATTTCGCTTTTGTTCATGTATTAGTGGCTTCCTCTTATCAAGCTTGAAGCTGAAGCCATGATTTGTGTCAAGCTGACGACAATGTTCACTTTAAAACCATAATTGTGGTGTCTGATTGGTTTGAGCTTGGCTCAAAAGGTCAAAAGTACCTGAAGGTCCCAGGTTCAAATCCAAGGAGGAATAAAAATTCTCTCGTGGCCACGGAGGTTCAAATGCGACGACTTCGAGCTATCTACAAAGTAGGTAGTTGTCCTGAGATTAGTCAGCTAAAAAAAATGTTCACTTCAATCAATTCAATAAATTTAAAATATATAAAAAATATATTGTTTTAATTTATTGGTGGGAAAGGGTTGAGCCCTAAAATTTTGGACAATAAATTTTAATTTATCTGCAATCTTGAAGATAGAGAAGAGGAAAATGGTTTTTTGTTTTTGTTCTGTTAGCTTTTGATAATTGTATACATTCGTTTATCAGATGCTTACTTGGGTTAGGGTTGCTTATAGGTTGGGTTAATCGGGTTGAAGTCAATTGAACAACCCAACTTAATGTTTGTAGGTTAAAAATTCTCAATCCAACTCAACCCAAACAAAACTACAACCCAAACCATGCGGGTTGGGCTGAAATATTGGGTTGGTCGGATTGAAATTTTGATACTTTATTTTACAATTTAGCCAAGTGTTTATGTACAAACAAAGTAAAATCAAAATGATAACATATAAAAAAGGGTAACAAACTAAAAAAAGAAGTTAAAGGTTAATACAAATAAGAAAGTAAAATTACAATTGAAATTGTAATATAATTTTGAATATAACTAATTATGAATTGGTCCAATGTCTAATGTACATATGTTAATCAATGACTTAAAAATCATATTAGATCCATAGTATAGAAAGGCACCGAGTTCATCGGGTTGGGTTAGGTTCCAATGACCTTAATCCAGTTTCAACCCAATAGATGTAGTTTGGCGTAATTTTGTATCAACTATATTAAGGTTGAGTTTTTTTTTTGAGTTTTTCCATGTTGGGTCGGCTAGGTTGGTCGGTATTTTGAACACCTCTAACTCGGGTAAGTGCTTACGAGGAAAATTTAACATATTCATTTACTTACCGAGTAAGATTTTAGTCCAACAAAACGGTATAACCATATGCAACAATTTATGCGGTAAGTGCTAACTGTGGTAAAATTCATCGACATCCATTACAGGGTAATACTCTCGATCTTTGCCTTTATTCTTACTGCATAAGATTCTTGGTTATTGTCATATTCATCCGTTACGGTAATATAACTTGGTAAAAGCACTACAACAAAATTGATCTTATAGGACTCCTAAATTGTCGTAATAGAGTGCTTTATATGACATTATTTTATAGAACCATAAAATAAAGAGTCTCATCTGAAGTATACAATTAGTTTAAATGACGTTTTTGGACGTCATAACAAGTTTTTAGAACCCTTTCATACAAAGTGTCATATTATCTATTTTATACGAGACTATTTAAAAGTGTCATAAACACATATGTCTTATATAAAGACGAGTTTATAGGATATTTTTCAAAAATGTCCTATAAAATATCTAATACAACGTTTTATTTTAAAAGGGTCTTTACAAACTTATTACGATGCAAGGTCCTATAAACTTACTATAACACAACCAATCATAATTGATACAAAAAATTTATATCATGTACCAACTAACTATACTTGGTACCAACTTTTTCTGGTTGGTACATATGAGTACGATTTTGTACCAACTAGACGTTGAAATGTGAAATGTGTAGTACCACTTATCGCTACATATACAACATTAAAAAAAATTCATATAATACAAGCATTAATTAATAATCTAATAATACGGAACATAGATGTGTGAACGAGTTAATAAGATTGTTAGGGTTGAGCAAATGAATTCAATCAAGTTCTGTCTATCGTCTATCCATATCATAATTTAGGAAAACTTAAAATAAGAACCACTACAACAAAATTGGATTTATAGCACGCCCCCAATCTCTAAGCGTCTCAATAGACCGCTTCATATGACTTAGGGGTCGTTTACCAAACATTTACCCTGTAGGTGCTTACCGGTAAAATTTAACACTATTATTTACTTACCGGGTAAGATTTTAGTCCACCAAAACGACATCGTATGCAACAATTTACCCGGTAAGCGTTTACCGTGGTAAGAGTCGTCGCCCTCACTTACCGGGTAAAACTCTTGGTCCTTGTCTCACTCTTACCGAGTAAGATTCTTGGTCTTTACCATATTCATGTGGTGAGGTAATGTTACTTGGTAAATGCTTACCCGGATAAGCATTTGGTAAACAACCCCTTAGTTTATAGAACCCAAAAATAAAGCGTCATTTCTAAAAGCGTTGTAATAAGTTTATATGACGCTGTTAGGCGTCTTAACAAGTTTTTTAGGACATTTCTAATACAAAGCGTCATATTAGCAACTATATAAAAATTGTCCTATAAACTCAATTTTTTATAAGACACTTGTTTTTATAGGACAATTTTTCAAATAGTGTCCTATAAAGTTGCTAGTGAGACGCTTTATATTAAAAGTGTCATAAAAAACTTATTACGATGTTCCTAAACTTATTACAATGCCTTTAGATATGACACTTTATTTTTTGGTCCTATAAAGAGGTCTATTAGGACGATTAGAAATTGGAGCGTCCTATAAACCCGATTTTGTTGTAGTGAACATTTAAAATTTAAACTCAAGATATGTGGTATTATACTACACTCTAATTAACAAGTATAGTACGGTATTACTATGGTATACGACTTCTATTACTACGTACCTACTAAGTTTAGATAGTTGGTACAATACTACCAACCAATTAGATCAATTGATACAAACACCGCTGTAAAAAACAGATTTGTGGTTGCTTGTTTGTAAAAAAACATGTTTGTTTGGTATACAAAATTCTTAGACAACAATTAAACAATATAAATGTTGCCTAAAAGAAATATTATATTATTTTAATTACAATTCAAAAAAACATATCTAAATAGAGTGTGTTGTCTAAGCTGGTATCTATAACAACATATGCAAATAGATTATATTGTCTAGCCTGATAGATTATCTAAGGCAACATATGCGGATAGATTATGTTGTCTAAGATGATTCCTTACGCAACATATGCAGATAGAGTATGTTATCTAAGATGATATCTTACACAACATATGTTTTTTTACTTAGGCAACATAACATTTTTCGTGTTGCCTAAAAAATCCGCTTAGACAACATATCATGTTTGCATATATAATTTGCGTCAAACACAGAATATATTCCTATAAATAAAATAAAAAAAGCTTGAAATTAATGGAATCAAATACAATTTACTATGATTGAAAGTAAAACAAGAAAAAGAGTGGGTTAAAATTACATTATTATTCGCATAAAATTGAAAAATCCAACCACTTTGTTCCAAACTTAATTAATTGGCCATTATGCTTATGCATGCTTTTTATGACTGGTTTATCTTCCATGTTTTTTTTCTTTTAATATGCTTTTCGAAACGACATCCATGCAAACCACTTTGAATAACATCAACATCATTCACTTGCAAAATCACACATATTTGTAAGATGTTTGTCGAAATTTCCACCATACCCTCACCAAACGTTCCTATTAATCAAGACTAAACTATGATTATCTTTCAACAACTAACATAACGCAAGGGTAATTTGGTCATTCAACTTTTAAAGTTATTATTAATAAAACACTCATCATCATCATGAAAGAGCATTTGGCTTAATGGTACCTTGTAACCCAACCTTTTTAGAGGTCAAAGGTTCAATTTCCATCAAATGTGACACTACTAAAAAAAAGGGTATAACCGACGGATTCTGGCGGAATTTCCGTCGGAAATATTCCCGACGGATCCCAAAAAAGTAAAAAAAAAAGTCAACTTTTATCCATATCCGCCACAGATCTCCCACAAATCCCCCATTAAATTTTTTGGAAAAAAAAATTAAAATTGTTTAAAACGGTTTTTCAACGGATTTGTGACGGATTTGTGACGGATTTTTTACTTATTCAAAACCGTCACAAATCCGTCGGAAATCCGTCGCAAAATTTGCCTAATTTATTTAAATAAATTAATTAGCGTTAATTACAAACAATTTCCGACGGAATTTAATTTTTTTTAAAAACAAATCGAATTCCGTTGGAAATCCGTCGGAAATTGTTTTTGATTAACGGTAATTGAACTTATATATATATATATAT